TGAGTGAGCATTAACCCGTGCAGGTACATTTAAGCCAAACAGCGGTGTGTCATTAGTTGATATTCCACCCACAAAACAATAACAGTATGGTTCACGTACCGGCGATGTCCCACAGCTGCAGCCTCACCACTGTTTTATGGTCCCAGTTGAGCACTTTGAGTGCGAAGTCCACTCCGATGGTGGCCCGGTAATGCTGGGAGAACACCTGGTGGACGTAGCGCTTTATGATGGACGTTTTGCCAACTCCCAGGTCGCCGATCACCAAAACTTTGAGCAGGCGTTCGCGCTGCATGATTACTGAAGACTCCGGTTACGAATTCCGCGTGAACGAGACGTGCAAAAACTGCGAAGAGTGTCACGCTTTTAAATAGTGGATTCTCGCATAAAAACAAACACCATCGAGAACTCCTCGAGAGCAACTTTGAAGCGCAATAAGGTTTTTAAAACAGGTTTTTGCAAATAAATAAAACAGAACGCGCTATTAAAGTAGATCAGGCGCAAATTACAACAAGTGCGCATATCTTAATGTTCATAGTTATAAATGAAAGCGAGTGTGCCCGAGAGCCGCAGATGCACAAAGGCGGCACAGGAGTGATCTCATGTAACAGTCCACAGCTGATGACTGCTGACCTCGATGACGTCCCGGGACGCTGGTGCTCACATCTCCGTGGCTGCTCTGTGTCCCGGCCAAACACCCACGAGCTGTTTCACAATTTAAACAGTGAAATGGAAAAGAAGAAGAAGAAGATCACGCTTTACGTAAAACTCTGATGAGATAAAGACGAGAAAAAACGAGGCGCTGTTATCTGATGAGTCTGCGGTCTGTGCGCGCTTCTGCAGCAGTTTGCTCTACTGCCACGACTTCAGAGAACAAACTGCGTTTCTGACAGCAGCTCACTGTCTTATAGAGCCACGCCCACATACTGCCAGTGTGCGTGTGTGTGTGTGTGTGTGCTTTTCAAACGCACAGCGCGCATATTAAACGCTGTGATGTGCAGAGGATGGACACACAAACAGGAACAGCTTTGAGGCACTCTGAAACCTTCTTCGGTCTAAGTTTAGTTTCCTCTGCTGTCATTGTACCCGCCCTATCTGTTGGTCTTTGCTCAGGGGAACTCAGTGGTTTTACATAAAGTGCTATTTACTTAAAATGACTCAGTAAACCAGCAGAAAATACAGCGAACAAGTTCACAAGGTGCAGGCAGTGTTTTAAAAGCTTGGTGGATGGGACAGTGCAAAAGTATGAGACGCTAGGAGTGAGGAGAGGGAACTTTCAGATCCAGGGCTGAGGGTTTTCATCAGCTTGACTTTATTTTCTATGAGTAGGTTTGGCTTTAAGTCAGCAGAGGCGTTTGCGGCAGTCCGGGGTTACAGGTGCATCGTTCTCCTGTTTTAGTGTCGCTTCAGGCTGAATTCTTTTTGTTCTTGCAGATCCTTTTTTGCACGGAAACATGTTTGAAATAAATTATAAATCCTGCAAGCTAAACACAAACCAGCGCGTTACTTAACATGCTGTGCTCCCTCTGCTGACTGGAGTCTACCATGGGACAGCAGCTCTGGGTTTCTGGGGGCTGATTGGGTGACTGGGCTGATTTGTCACACAGATTTGGGAAACACTTGCAGTATGTTCTGTGTTTAGCAGGTAGTTAGTTTAAGGATCCCAGATAACTGCAGGCTCAGCCTGTCTCCGTTTATTCTGCTTGATCAGCTGTGCCTCGGATGGAAGAGCCGATCATCTAACAAGCAGAAGGTCAGCGGATCCCTGATGACTGATGGTCACGTTGAAGAATTCTTGGGAAAGATACTGAACCCTGAGTTTCCCCTGAAGCATCAGAGTGTGAGTGTGTGTGTGTGAATGTTGGATAAAGCCATGGATTAAAAACTCTGTATGAATGGGACTTGCAGTAGAAATCACTTTGCACCCAACTGAGTAGAAAGGCAGTGTGTGAGTAACTGTCCAGTCAGGCTGCATCTCTCTACAGTCAGCAGGTGAGCTGTTGTTTACATCTCCTAAATATAACTAAAAGCCACGAGGACTCCCGTCTTCACAATCCCACATCAGCTCTGTGACATTTCAGTCAGACCTCTATCACATTTTTCCTTTTGTTTTCTGTGTACACATTTAAAAAGCACCTGACCCATGCAGCACAATCACTCTTTAAATCAGCTGCTGTGGGTCAGCAGGAAGCTCGCCTGCTACTCGAAGCTCCATGGTTTGAGCCTCAACTCCTCTAGTCTACACGCCGAAGTCTAGTTGGACAAAATACTGAATGTCCATTGGAGTGTAAGTGTGTGAGGGTTAGGTGAAAGTGCTTAAGCACAGATTTAAAAAAGTAATACAGAGAGCATTTCATGTGAATGAGTGACATTGTAGATTCTCTGAGTGATATCTGACTTTATAACAGGTTTATTTTTTATTGTTTTTATTGATTATTTATTTATGTCCCCACAGCAGAAGCATGAGTAACAGACACACATATTCTTGTTTTGATATCTTAGTGAGGACATCTAATTGACATAATGCTTTCCCTAGCCACTTACCCTCAGCCTAAACCTAAACATAACCTAATTGTAACCATGACACTAAAACCAGGCACTTCTTTCCTCACAAGTGACTGTTGGCCCCTACAAGTATAGTGACATTCTAATTTTTGGTCCTCACAAATATGTCTAAACAGGTACAGACACACACACACCGAGAGAGAGTGGGCATTCTATTTGTCATTGCTTAAAACTACAACTCCCAGGTGCTGGCTGGTTCCGTGACTGCGCAGTGGCGCATAGACGGCGCAGTGAGTGTGCAGCTTCCCTCTGGTGGCAATATTCTTCAATAAACAAATAAATTAATAATAATAATAATAATGAAAACACTCATAGTATTGTTTGTTTTTCCTCATCCATAAGTCATATTTTCAGTTAGTTTCCTCACAATTACGATCTAATAACCAAACATTTTGACTTTTGGGTCAAAATGTTGTTAACTAACTTTTGTAAGTGTTTTCAATATTCAGGGTTTTTTTTTTTGGTCTTTAAACTATGCAAATAAAATTAGTCTTTGTGTGTTTTATTATCCGTTACTTTGATGACGTCAGCAGACTGTTACAGTACATAAATCCAGTTTTCCCTACATATATGTAGGATGCTCTCTTACAGAGGGATAATGCAGCTTCTGGGCGTTAATATTATGATACATGGAGGTTTGCTGTTATGTGCCCTCCCCTCTAAAAGCCGTGCCGCCTCCCGGTGTTGCGCCTCTGCGCGCTCCTTTACGGTAGTGGTACTGATGCGGGATGAGTCAGGCTATATGATGCTGCTGCCATTTCATCAGCAGCGAAAGCCTCCAAACCCCGAGCAAACACAGAAACGATACCGCGGGATTTCCCTCTCACAGCCTCGTAGACATCCTCTCAGCTCTGGGGCTCGAAACAGAGAACAGAGGCCTGCTCGCAGTTTATTCGCGGCTCCGAGCGAAAGCGCAAGATCCCTTTTTTCTGGTTGCACCTGCACTTGGATGCGTTTTTCTCCTTTCAGCACTCAATCGGGCCTGACATTAAGGAGGAAGTCAGCCCTGAGTCCTCCGGGGCCTGCCGCTCACCAGCCTCTGTGATCCAGCTTCCACACAAACATCGAGGTTTCGCCGCTTTTGGGTTGTTTTTGCGGCTCCCTGAGCATCGATCCCCCAGACTAGCCTGTATCATGGAGCCCTCAGCAGCCTGAACAGCGTGACAAGAGCGACCATTCTGTCCCGAAGCACTCCACTGCTGCTCCAAGTAGGCTGTTTTCCTCTACTGTTTAATCTCCGTGTCTTTGTGTTGTCGCGATAAAAGCATGGCTGATTAAACCGAAATGACTATTTCCAGGCCTTTAGATTGCTTTGCATGGATGTGATTGAAATTCATAATAGCAAGAAAAGTCGCCTTTGGAAGAAACATCGTTGTCTGTTGCTTGATAAACAACATCAAATCGATGATAAGTCGTGATTTTGCGCACAAACTCACCTCAAACACGAATAGATTTACGCAAATAAATAAATGAAGCAATGGGATCAATAACAACCCCCCACCCCCCTACGCATGTAATCATGTCAGTCTGAACCGCAGCCATCTGTAAATGCTGGATATGTGAAACCCTGCGTGTCGTGTCGAACCCACGAGCTGCCCATCCCGGCGCGAGAACCCATCAGGCTGCTATTCAGCAGGGATTCAGCCTCTAATGTTTGCATACCTCCCGAGCTACGCAACCTGACTCCACAGAGACGCGCATGGGGTGATGGGAGGCCGCGTGCTCGCCTGATGGCCTGGTCGGGAACAGCTGTATTGTGAGGATCTGTAGGAGACAGGGCTGCTGTACAGAGAGCAGCATAGCTTATGCTATCAAATCCCTTAAGTCACATATTTCAAGAGACGTTTTGCCTCTTAAAAGAAAAAACACAGAGCTGAATGGACTAAATAAACATAGTTCAGAATTGAATTACTATTTCAGTTTACATTTTTCTGCAAACCCTTAATGATCTGATATATTTAATGTCGTATACCATGTGCAGAATATGCATGAGTAAATATATACCTGTTCAACTGGCACAATAACAAGAATATCTAACCAGCCAATCATATGGCAGCAGCTCAGTGCATTCAGGCATGTAGACGTGGCCAAGACGACCGGCCGAAGGTCAGACTGAGCATCAGAAAGAGAAAGAAAGGGGATTTAAGCGACTTTGAACATGGTGGTGTTGCTCGTGCCTGATGTTTGAGTATTTCAGAAACTGCTGGGATTTTCCCACACAGCCATCTTTAGGGTTTACAGAGCAGCGGCAGTTGTCTGCGTGAAAATGCCTTGTTGGTCAGAGGAGAATGATCAGAATGCTCAAATAACCACACGTTGCAAGCAGAAAAGCTTCTCTGAATGGTCTACAGCAGCAGAAGACCACATTGGATGTCACTCCTTACTGCTAAGAGCAGAAAACTGAGGCTGAAATTCACACAGTCACACAAACAACACACGACGGGGACAATAGAAGATTGAAAAGATGTTCTCTGCTTTGTGTCTTCATTTCTGCTTTGACATTCAAATAATGTCAGAATTTGGTGCAGACAACATGAAAGCATGGATCCATCACAGCTTGGATCACCAGTTTTGGATGATGGTGATGTAATGGTGTGCTGGATGTTTTCTTGACACCCTTTGGTCCCTTTAGTAGTCAGATTGTTACATTAATATATTTATTATATGATTTTAAGACATGCTTTAACATGTCAGCACCTGTTTAGAGTGGTATTTGTTAGGGGTGGGGGAAAAATCGATACTGTGTAGTATCGTGATATTTTGTTTGCTAATAATGTATCGATACAGGGACAGCAGAAATCGATATTTTGTTAC